GCCAGTTAGATGCTCAGACCACCAGAGAACTTTTAGTTCTGTATTTAGTTATTGGAATGAAATGGTCCTTAACCTGCAAAGTCTGCCATCACTGTACATCAGAATTGCACTGCCAAATTATCAAATATTTGATTCTGCAACTAGAAAAGCAAATAATATATTGTTGATATTATAAGTGGTATATTATTGATGTTTTCTGCTTCTAGCCAGTATGCAGAAATAAAACTGATTTTTATAGATAGTGCTTATATTTAGTAACACTGCTAAAGCCTTCTTAGTAAGTTATTAATTTACCTGTAGTTTGAGGTTTCATTTAGACAATAAAATCATCAATGAATAACTGAATCTTTGATTTGTTTTCTTTACTAGGATGGCTCGTGCAATGATGGACAGTGATCATGGATAGATAAATTCTTACACGGTGGCATCCACATGCTACCCAGGCAGCTCAGGTGTTCCTATTCCTATTTTACAAATGGATGAAGTAAGCTTCAAACAGGCAAAGTCACACAGTTTCATGAGAGCTATGACTTATCTCAGGTCTTGTTTTGAACAACTATGTGGGCTCTATGTCAGCAATTCTCCAACTTAAGCCAACATTAGAATCACCTGGAGGGCTTGTTAAAACCCAGCCGGCTGGCCCCAGTCTCAGAGCTTCCGATTCAGTAGTTCTCAGGTGGGGACAGAGAATTTGCATGTCTAACAAGTTCCCAGGTGATGCCTCTGTTGGTCTGGGACCACACTTAGAACTGCTGCCCTGCACGACAGAACCGCTTGGTTCTGAGCCTTCCTTCCAACTTTCTTCACATGGGAATTTCTTCTCTGCTCAGAGACAGCCTCTCCTCTCCTCCATACAGAGTCCCTGCATGTCCCTGGGACCTCAGCCCCACAGGTGGCAGCTGGCATTGGTGTTTGCTGTGTTGCCATCTGTCTCTGTGCATAATTACCCTCATTAAACAGGTTTTCACTTACAATTCAAGTAAACAAGCTATGCTGCTAAAAAGGCTGTCTCTGCACCTGATTCCTCAGGCTGTATTACGGGCATCACACCAGCTGATGCTTTGGCTCTCGGCCGGAAGATCAGGAGGTTCTTTGGATTCCCTCCAGCAAGTGCTGCCAGTCTCCTCCTCTCAGATCTGCAGATTCTGATGTATTTCCACTTGCATCCTTCCGAAGAAGCCTGTGTTATTTATTCTCTAGGCAACCTCTATGATTTGGACTGCAGGTCTCAAGGTCAGGGCAGATTTGTTTTACATTGTTCTCTGTGTGTCAAGTGTGGTAGCTTCAGTCAACCTCAGCTAAATTTGCCCATGGGGCAACCTGACCTCTTTAGGGGTGCTTAGGACTGATACTGTGACAGTGCCCCTACCTGTATGCTATTCAAGTAAAACTAACACAAACCATAAAATAAGTATACAGAATTCCAACAAAAGTTCAATTTTTTCCCACAATGTCTTATTGTTTGTGTGTGTGGTAATGGAATCTGAACTCAGAACCTAGCACATGCACATGCACATGCACATGCACATGCACATGCACATGCACATGCACAGGCTGTGTTCCACTACTGAGCTGTATCCCTAGTCCTATTTTATTTTGAGACAGAGTCTTACTGAGTTGCCCAGATTGACCTAAGACTTGTGATCCTCCTTGCCTCAGCCTCCCTAATAGCTAGAATTACAAGTGCATGCCACTGTGCCCAGCTTCCTTGATTTTTATTTTAATCAAATTCTTTACAAATTTTTTTGGGGGCTTGCTGTTTTGCAGCAGCCCTGACTCTTTTGTGGTCCAGCACACGGTTGAGGGTACAGTGCATGGTAAACATCTTTGTTGTTTTGTTTTGTTTATTTTAGCAGGAGAACCCAGCTCTCATCTCACCCAGCTCTCACTCCCCTACCAGAGATTCCTTGGATGCTGAACATTTGTAATGAGAACATGAGCTTTGGATGTAGGTTTAAATCCTGTGCCAGAAACTTACTTGCTGGTGACATAAAGCAATTTTGTTAACCTCTCTGAGCCACAGGCTCCTCAGCTGCATAATGGAGATAATATCTACTTTACAGGTTGCTGTCAGGATGAATGGGGAAACATCCGAGCAGCACCCAGCTCTGTACATATGCTACTCTGCCCTCCTTTCCCCATCTCCATCTCAATACTGACCTTTCCACTCCCTTTTGCTCCTTACATCCTGTTCAGTCTTCTTTCTCCCCAGTCTGCACCTGTTTCCATTCTCTGCAGTGGTCCCCCTCTTTTCTCCCCAGCTGTCCCCCTTTTCTTCTGTAAGATGTCACACTTTCCTTTGCCTGACAGTTTCCTCAAAGGCCCTCCAGCTCCACATGACTTCTTATTTAGAGGAAAAATGGGGTTAGAAAGGTGGACAGGAAATGGAAAGTTCTCCACAAAGACCCAGTCTGTGTCACATGCTCCACCCCGCTGGCCACGTTGCCTTGTCCAATCTGCTAGTTTAGTCTGTGTTGTTCCCCTAGTAAGCTCATTGGCACCTGACAGGCAAGAAACACAGGAACAGTAAAAAGCACAGACATTAATCAGGCACTGACAGTTGGATGTGTTTAATACTTAGAGTGGCCAGGTGAAGACACAGAAGTACAGAGTCCCTCTTACAAGGCCCGGCTCAGCTTTTTACTTAAGTGCATAGATGATGATAGTGAAGACATGTCAATGGCTAACATCAGGATACATTTAGTCTTTCACCATCTCCCCATGAGGATAGTATGGACCTTGAGGAAAGAGCCAGAGGACTGATAGCTGGCAAGAAGTGAGCAGGCCAGGTTCTTCTGATTGGTGACCATCTATATGACCACTACCAAATGACAGTTTCTAGAGGTCTATAGTGGCACTGGATATCTCTATATTAAGAATAACTTCCAGCTATCCCTCAGTATTTCTGGTGGACAGGGGCCTAGATGTCCACTAACACCAAAATCTGCTTATGCTCAACTCTCTTTTACAGGATGGCACAATGTTTGTATATAACCTTCTATGGACTTTCAAGCCAGCTCTGCATTACTTATCATTCTCAATGCAATACAGATGGTACATAAATAATTGTTATATTGTTTAGGAAATAATGACCAGAAGAAAAGTCCATACTAGTTCAGAAGAGACACAGTTTGTTTCCTGAATGTTTTTGATCTGCAAATTGGTTGAATCCATGGATATGGAATGCCTGGATCCAAAAAGCTGACTATATCTGGAGTAGTATTCTAGTGTGCAAGAGGTCACTGTTGAAATGCAGAATGACACTAGCCATTCATTCAGTGAATACTGACTGCCCACAGCAGGGGTGATACAGCCACAAGTCCACCTAAAAGAGCTTAACATGGGCTGTGATGGATGGAGAAGACAGGATGTGATAGAAACTGGCTTAATCATATAGTATCATGGAGCTGTCTTTCAGCAGAACTCTGAAGGAACAGGACCCCAGTTGGGGAGATTTCTGAGAGAAGAGGGAGGAACATAGCTGGCCCGTGAGACCAGGATTATTAATGTCACCAGTAGCCCTGGGTGGTCTGAGGATCCTGTGCACATGGGGTGGTGGTGGAGAATGAAGGCTGAGCCTGCTTGGGTTGGTCCTTAGAGAACTTGAATCCAGTTTTCCACAAAGCAGAAAATCTACAACTTTCTCTGGATTTTAATCTTTTGGAAAAGGATGCTCCTAAAATAGTAAGAGTACCATGTTTAGTAGCTTCAATAGTTCTTCCCTATCCTTCTTTCTTTGCTTCCCTTGCTTCCTTATTTTTTTAAAAATTTAATTTAATGGGACCCTCCAAGACCTTTTCATGATTTCCCCATTGCAGTCTTTTGCTGATGAACACTGAGTATTTGTACTGCATCTGAAGCAGGAAGCTGCCGCCCACTCTCAGGCCTCTTGTGCACCTTGCCGTGGTTTCTGCAATCCTAGGCAGACCCTGGTGCTGCAAGTAAAGTGGCTTGGAAATGTCTGCAGGGGAGGGAGCTTTGGATTTCAAGTCAGAAGCCCCGGCCAGCATCATGACCAGATCTTCCATGCTCTCATGTTATAAGCCTGGATGAGTCTCTTCACCATTCAAGACCTTAGTTTTCACATCTATAAAATGGAGACAATAACAGGGGCCTCTCTTCTATCACAGTATTATCACAGCAATCAAATGATAACCAAACATGTGGAAATCACTCCAAAGGAAGCTTGTGCCCACTGGAAGGCACGACTCATTCAATGGTCTGCTGGCATCAGCAGTACACTCTCAGTGGCTTCCTAAAGTACCTGGATGTAGCTGCCCTTCTTTCCACAGAGTCCAGATTCAAGCATCAGTTGTGATGTGAATCACCACAGCACAGCTTTCAGAGACTCCTCTGCTGAGCCTGAGCATTGGGAATGCTAATTCTTATGTCTGCTTTTATATGTTTTCTGTCACCTAACTTGTCAGACACTCAGCTGTCACTTCTCTGCTCAGAGTTTGCCCATGCCGCCTGTAACCTGCTGAGGATTTGACAGTCAGATAATGAGTTTATTACGTGCATGTGGGGAGCGAGAGTGGCAAGTCGAGGTATAACATATTCCCTGCAGGTGTGGACTGTGCTCTCTCTTAGGACAGGTTTACCTTCTCTCTTGCCCGTAGCTCAGGTGGATGAGGCTGCAAAGCAGAGGAGCTGCTGTTCCCACGCATGAGCTCAAAACTTATGCTCCACTTGGGAGCCTCCCAGCTGCGCCTATCAAAGCTGACAGAAACAGGTGTCTTTGCCAAGTGCGCCATGCCCAGCTTCTAGCCTGCCTTTGTCTGTCTGTTTCCCTTCCTCCACCTGCCTCCTGAGCCATTCTCTACTTCTCTATTACATTTAGGCTTTAGATCAACCCTATATAGTTCTGTAACCTTGGTGGCTTTCTTTCTTTCTTTCTTTCTTTCTTTCTTTCTTTCTTTCTTTCTTTCTTTCTTTCTTTCCTTCCTTCCTTCCTTCCTTCCTTCCTTCTTTCTTTACTGGGAATGCACACAGGGCTTTCCCACTTAGCTACATCCTCAGATTCTTTTAATTTTTTTTTTTTGATAGGGTCTTGCTTAGTTACTAAGTTACCTAGGTTGGGCTTAAATTTGTGATCATCCTGCCTCAGCATCCCAGAGTGCTGCAATCACAGGTATGTATCACTATATTCAGCTGTTGCTTCTCTTTTATAGGTGCTGAGTTTAGAGAGGGTACATAAGCTGCCCAAGATAATGAAATTCTTAAGAAACTGAATGACGGCCTAGCCACTCTCTACTACTCTCCCACATTATTTCTCCCAGATCTCAACAGTGATTCCTACTCAATCCTGGCTGTCAGACTTCTCTCCTACTGAGATGGGTGACCTGTCCTGGAGATCTTAAGCCAGCGGCTGCTCTAGGAAGAACACGGCCAATTCCCTCCAGAGTTGCAGAGGGGTCCACAGGAGTGAACGGAGCCATGCAGGGAGGCTGCTGGGGAGGACGCCAAGGACCTACAGCCAGGCGCTATGATGCCTGAAGCAACACAAGAGTAGCTCAAGAAATACCGCGTTCAGGCTGCAGGCTGATGTGAAAGAGACCTTTCTCCGGACTTCAACCTTCCCTTTAATAATCAAAAGTAAAGCTAAGATGTAATTTTTATAAAAAATGTAACACTTCAACTGACCACAGATCCATCCTTTATGCAGCCAGTGAGTCAAGCCCTTGTTTGATGGGGTGGACTTGCATTCAGATGTGAACTTTTTAGGCTCAAAAATGGTGCAGATTCACTTTTAAAGATTTAGCCATTAAAGTAGGAAACTTTAGAGTGAATGCCTTTCTTCAACTCTCCACCTTCCTTCACCCCATTTTTGCAGTAGTCACAACTAAACGTGATTCCTGTTTCTCCTTCCCTCCTTCTGTACACGCGAGCGCGCGCGCACACACACGCACATGCGCACACACACTGTCCCCAAAATGAAATGATCCTATAGCATTTGACTATCTTCTTTTTTCACTTTTACTATTACAGATGACTTCTGCTCATATAAGAAGGGCTTTAAACATATCTGCATAGTGCAGAATCCCTTTGTGATTGAAAATTTTTGTTAAGAGTTTAAATTTTTGTTCTAGTTGCATTTTCTCCCTGTTAGTCTGGGTCTCCTAACATCTTCCTACCTGTGTAACTCACCATGCCCAGCCCTCAACACCAGATGCTCTGTTGAGGAGGAGACAGGGGAGTTGCCCAGAAAACTCACCTGGCGCCCAGGAGTCAGCTTGGGAGCTGGCTCTAAATACAAATGCTCCACTTGAAAGTGCCACTTGAGGACACAGGGCAAGCTGCCATCTCCTCTTTCTATGATGTGAAGCAAAATGGCGTGGACAGAAGCCAGGCTGCAGCTGCTGGCTGGGGCAGTCACATCCGTGATCTTGCATAGCCGAGGCTGGCGGGGTTGAGAAGAGCTGGGCTGCTCTCTTCCCGCCTGCTCCTCTCCTGGCCCTGGCCACTGCGCTGTCCAAATGGGACCCTGGAGCCCTGATTGGGGGCCTCAAGAATCTCACTGTGTTATCCAGGAGAGCCTCAAACTTGAGGTCCTCCTGCCTAAGCTCCCAAGTTAGCTGGTATTACAGGTACATGCTACCATACCCAGCTGTGATGTGGATGAATCTTAAAACCATTAGGCTGCATCAAGAAAGCCAGTCCCTGAAGGGCCAATATATATGATTTCACATTTTAATAAAATGTCCAGAATAGGATATTTAGGAGGAAAGTAGATTAATGTTGCTTAGGGCTGAAAGTGGGGTTGAGGTAGGGTAAATACAGAGTGACATTAATGGATATGGATATGGGCACTCTTTTTTGGAGTGATAAAGATGTTAGAAAACTGCTGCTTACGTGGGTGAGTGGTAAGTGGTGTGGTTGATATCTCAGTGAAGCTGTTATATTTGTTGTACGTATGGAGCTGCTTGCCTCAGGCGGCTTTGTGGAAGAGCAGCAGCAGAGTCCGAGGCAGAGAATTTGCCAGGAACTCAGCACTGTGTGGTTCTGCTTCTTGGTCTCACTCCTCGGAATCAGCAGCCCCTGTCCAAACTCTGTGCTCCTCTTCCCTGATCAGCCAAAGGTGAGCTGAAGGAAATAACCCACTTTTCTCGAATGGCCCTGACTGGCATGTTTTGCAGAGATTTCGAGGATGTCTCACTTCAGATACCAGATGTGTTCATTGGGCCCACGCTGGATGGAGGAAAAATCTCCATGTACTTCAAAAACACCAACTTGAAGGGACTGTAGTCTACTTGCAGCTTGAGGAGCAGATTAGCAAACTGAATAAACATCCCATATAGAGGGATTCAGTGAGTAGTATTAAGTAGGGAAGACATGCTTTGCTTAAAGCAGGAGCCACATCTTAGCAGAAAATCCATTGTTCAAAAACGAAGCAGAATATTGCAAAAAAATATATATAGTTTTTGGTGCTATTTATGGAGTATTGCAGACTTTTGGCCATGTGAGAGTTCAGCAGGAAAGATTTTTGTTTCAACCCCTGTTGTTGGAAACATCCCTAGAATGTCCCCATTCGATTTCCTGCCTTGGTACACAGCACTCAGGGAACAGAATTTAATTTTCGATGAATGAATGACTTCCTTAGCTTCTGAGTCTTTCTGGACTCTAGTTTATTATGTACAAGGCTACAGCTGGAAAAGTGGAAACCTTGATTACATTTGGTCTATAGGATGTTCAGACTACAAACTAATTTGAAGTTAAAAAATCAAAAGGCAGAGGAATTCTTGATAAAATTTGTTATTTTTCTGCTGTTCTCTGCTTTTCTCTGCCAAGCCAAATCTGGACTTTACCACCTCCTCAGGCAAGGTCCGTCTTTGGAGGGCTGAGAGGTGCCATGGAGTGGGGGTGGAGGTTGCCAGGCCATGGAATTTGCTCTCCTGTCTCTCCCCGACCTCTTTCCTCTTTCTTTTTTCCTCTCATGTCTTCCTCTCTCTTCTTTGAACCTTTTTGGAAGGTCTTTGGATACTTAAAGGTTGATTTCTGACTTCTTCCCTGGCAGTCACAGCCTTATGTCTGAGACCTGGGTAGCTCAGGTTAATTGGAATTTTGCTATGTGCTGAAGTCACTTTCTCATTCCCAAGAAGCCCTGCTCTGCTAGCTTCCCCAGCAGGACTTGCTGTGAAGGCAGGAGACACACATCACGGAGACCATGGTGCTCCCACAGAACAGGGAGTTCAGTCATCATTCAGAACCATTCTCAAGAAGTGACAAGCTTTACGCCTGGCATCTTGCCCTAAACACAGTCTGAAGGTGTGAAGTAAACAGAACTGTCATTCACAGAGGAGGGTGGGATGTAGGCTGTTTGGATCTCATAGAGTCTCTCATCTGGAATCTGAGGACTGGGTCTCTGGGAAGACTTCTAGGACAAAGCTTGGTCACTACTTCCCAGCTGGCTTTACAGTCATAGTGCAGCCTACCATGCACAGTACGTCAATACCTCTCCCTTTCATGCTCTTGTCTTTTGACTGATCTTCCCTTAGCCAAAGGAATGGCAGAAGCCAATGCTCTTCTTGGTTGAAATAACAGAAACCACTCAAAAGAGTTAAAGCAAAAAGGGTCTTCATTCAGGGTGGTTACTGGAGATTTGCAATAAGGATAGCATCAAACATCCCAAAGACCTGAAATATTAACCAGCAGCCTCTCTCACTCTGGGTCTCTCCAGTCCCTGACTTTCCTTCTCCACTTGGTCCCTTCCAAACACACAACAGGAGTGGCCCTCTCTGTTCAGCAAATCTCTGTGTGTTACCAGACAAGGGGACCTTCAGGTTCCAGCCCCTGCCTGCTGGTCAGGGGTGGAGTATAAATGGTGATCAGATGCCTAAAGGGGACATCAAGGGAGAAGCCAGCAGATCCATTCTGTACTGGGTTCTGGCTTGGGTACTGGTCCTCTTGAACTTTTAAAAGGAAGGACACTTCTCCATCTAGTGCTGTGTGGGCCAACACTGGGGCTGTTAAACATTCCCAATCTATGTAAGTTTTCTACTCCAGTAGCAAATCCATGAAGGCAGGAACTTATTTACAATCTATATTTCAGCCTTGTATCTCAAGCACCTAGACCACCATTGGAACTCCAATGTTTTTTGATTGAGTAAATGTTATTCTAAAACAACTTTATTGAGGTATAACCTAAATATTAGAAACTGCACATATTTCAGAGTATATAATTTTGATATCCTCACATATACCAATATCTGTGAAACCATCACTAATCAAAATCATGAACAAATGTATCTACTCTGCAAGTTTCCACACGCCCTTTGTGACTATTCCCTATCCTAGGCAACTGCTAATTTGTATTCTGTCACTACACATTATTTTTCCTTTTCTAAAACTGTATGCAAAATGGAAACTTCCAGTATTTATTCCATGTATTTATGTCTGGCTGGCTTCTTTCACTCACACAATTATCTTGAGACTCATCCTATTGTTATGAATGGTTCATTGCCTTTCATTGCTGAGGAGCAGTAATTCCATTGTCTGGGTATACCAGTTTGTTCATTTAGATATTGATGGCATTCAAATAGCTTGTAATCTTGGGTTATGAGAAAGAATGCTGCTATGAACATTTGTATACATGTCTTTGTATCGTCATATGCTTTCATTACTTTGAGCAAATGTATTGAAAATGTCTAATCATATGGCAGATGTAAATTTAGCAATTAAAGAAATCATTTAATCATTTTCCAAAACAGTGATAACATTGATCTTCAAATAGTAAACCAAACTTGCATTTCTGGTAAAAATACAATTGGTGAATATGTATTATTGTTTTATTTATTGTTGATTTCAATTTGATAAAATTTTGTTTGGAATTTTCATACCTATATTAATGGAAAATGTTAATCTGTTGCTTTCTTTTCTTATACAGGTTTTTGTCAACAATCAGTGATACTTAGAAGGATTTGGGAAGTACCCCTTTCAATTTGTTAAAAGAGTTTGGTATTCTTTCTTTCTTAAATATTTGTTGGAATTTACCTGTAAAGCTATTTAGCTACTGAACTTGGAGCCCCATGCCCCATTCATTCTTAAAGGGAAATTTAAACAACATATACAATTTCTGTAATAGATGTAAGTATGTCCAGATTAAAATTAAAATTATTTTTGACATGCAATTAGCATATCAAAAAATTCATCACTTTCAAGTGTATTATTTAGCTTTTTTTTTGTACTGAGGATCAAACTTATGACCTCATGCTTACCAGGCAAGTGCTTGAGCTGCTCAGCTGAATCTCTGGCCCACAAATATTTGATGGTTTTTGATACAATCTTATGGTTGTATGACTGTACAAGCTAAATCCAGAACATTTTCATCACCTCAGAAAGAAATCTCATCCCATTAGCAGCCATGTCTCATTTTATTCCATCCCCCAGCTCTGGGCATCACTAATATATTTTCTGTCACTATGGATATTCTATACATATCATATATATAGAATCATACAATATATGATCTTTTGTGTTGTGTTTCTTTCACTTTGCATACTGATCAAGATTCATCCATGTTATAGCAAGTGTCAGCACTGCCTTACTTTTTATGGCCTGAATATCTAAAACAATCTTAAAAAAGAACAAATTTGGAAGATTCATATTTCTTGATTTCAAAACTTGCTACAAAACTGCATAATTAAGATTGCTTAATATTGGCATTAGAGAAACATACAGATCAAAAGAATAAAATTGAAGATACAGAAAAAGTAGCCTTCACCTTTAAGTATTTATGTTTTCAAAAATTCTAAAACAATTTAATGAGAAAAATAGTGCTTTCAA